ACCAAAGGACTTGTATGCATGCATATAAGCATAACCAATGGACATAAGACACTGGGGAATAAGGGGGGCTAGGGGACTGTCTAGGGCGGGGGGAAAAAATGGACACATATGTAATACCCTTTGTAATAAAAAATAAAATTAAAAAAAAATAAAAAAAAGGAAGAATTCACAAAGAGCAAATATAAAGTACCCTCTACTTACTTTTCAGGTCATCTGGTCCCACATTAGAATTTTCAAAGGTCAAGGAGGAGCAAATCACCAGCGAGCAAACATAAACGCCTATTGAATAAACACGTCACGCTGCGTAAGGTTAGGGAACACACAGGACCTTCTCTGTAAGGCCTCTGCAGGCTCCATTTGCATCGGGATACGCTGGAAGCGGGTCAGAGTGACCGCCGGTTAAACGCAGACTCAGCCCCGCACTTGGCTGTGGTTCCTGAAAACGCAGGGCTGAGCTCTGGGTGAAGAGGCCTGAAGAAGGCACTCTCAGGGCAGAAGGTCAATTCTACAAGGCCTCTGTCTTCATCGGAAGCTGCAAACGCCGTGACACTTGTATTGTAAGGCAGAGGGCAAGCACACCACATGTACAAACTAACAAAATTCAACTTCAGTTAAGGGACTTTCCCTCCCCTGGTCTGGCTGCATGTAGAATAAAAGTTCAAGTTCCCCCTCCTAGAGGTCGATCATGAAGAACTAGACTCCCAGTGTCCTCCATCGCCAGGCCCTGGGATGCTGAGCCTGGCTCCAGGGTGAGTACTACACGACCCACAGAGGAAGTGTTTTTCCTGGAACACTCATGTTGCCACAATAAGTCAGACTCCCACCCGGGAGGGGTCTCAGTGCCCTGAGAACCAGCCCTACTGCTTCCTTCCCTCGAGAGTCGCCTGGGCACCTGCAGGCAGGTCACTGTGTCAGGAGCGGGGCATCAAGTGGCACACAGCTTTGCAGGGGCCTTTTGCTTTCCATCACTTCACTTGACCTGATGGTCGAATAAAGTGTTCCATCAAGTAAAATACACATTGAATAGGTGAAGCACATGTTGCAAAAGCCAAAAGTTTAAGATGATAGCAGAAACTATTGGCAGACTAAATTTCAGTGAGTGTTTCTTCTCTGTTATAGATTATGCAAGAAGCCCTTCAACAGACCTAATTTTTAAAATATCTTCAATGAATCAAATGTCATGGGTAGCAACTAGATTTAGTACGCAGTATCCTGTCTTTCTCATGCTACTAAAACATCACAGTTAAGTGCTCTGTGTGCACATATGTTCACGTGTTTATCAATATATTCGTAAACTTCCTCCAGTGGGAAACAGATTACATGAACTGTGTTGTGAAGCTATGGACTTCATCTATAATAATAAAAGTGTAATATGCTAATTAGACCAGACAACCAAACGACCTTCTGGATGTCCTTCTGCGGCTGCTAGGGCTGAGCCCCTTGCATGAATTTCGTGTACCGGGCCTCTAGTTATGAATAAAGCCATGGGTCAGTGTGTGAAGTAAAGCAAGCAAAGTCCGCTGACAGGCAGGTGTGGGCGAAGGGACCATCAGTATCCACCACAGGCACTTCGATGTTTGGTCCCCTGAGCCACCGAGGGCCCATGGGATCTGTGGTGAGATCTCCCACCTCAACCACCAAACGCTTTCCCGAGATACTTATGCCTAATTTTAGAATGTTCACAGCTAAGGAGGCACCTGCTCCTGCAGCGCACACCACTCACACCTGCTCTGCACAGCGCAGCCTCTGCGCACAGCAACATAGTCGTAACCCGCCACAGACACGCTTCAGGATATAAAACATGCTTTTAATAATCTAAGAAGAAAAATATATTCCAAAATAATTGTGTCACAATATTACAATATTGAGGTCAGTCATGGCATGAAGTAAGGGAACCAGGAAATGGTGATTCTCACCCAAGCGCCGCTGTGCTGACACCCTGGTTGCGGCCGTGAGAGCAGAATGGAGCCGAGGACCAGCTCAGACCTCTGTCCTGCGCGATGTCACACCGACGAACGCATGAACCAGTGATCGGCTTTTAATGCAATTTCCTATCTCCTTACCCCGATTTACCTCGCAACCTTTCCGGTGACAACATAAGCTTGTCTTTCTTTACAGGCTGGGAAAACACAGAAAACCCACAAAGCTCATGATAGACTATTTCACAATGACCTAACAGCTAACACTGAAAATTTGTATTATATTTTAGAAAAAGTATAATTGTGTTTATGTGCACTATTTCATGAATAAGTTACAACAAGCAATTAAAAAAAACGACATTTTCATGGATGTAAGAAGTTTCAAATTAGGACACTATGATTAATGAACTGTGATAATCCTCTTAATAGTCTATGCAACTTAGATACTTCTCAATAACACATTTTACAGTTATGAAAGTTAATTTTTTTGAATACTTTCTTTCACTGATTATGGATAGAGATATACTAATATTTAATAATCTTTCAGCTTTTCTTTTAAAAAAGAAACAGCGCAAAATAAGTCACTGAGAACTTTTCTTGCAAAGACAAAAATGATTATTTGTCATAAGAATTTAATAAGACTTAGAAGAAAAAATATATATTTCCTTAAACCATTTTTTTCTGAATTCAAACCAGTTTATAGAGATTATAAAAAATAGAGTCTTTGTACATGGCACAGTGTGCCTCAGTGACACACAAAACAAGGTAACAACGAAGCATATACACACCTGCCTCCTGGACAGAGCCCAGCACAACACCACAGTGACTACGTCCTATTGTACACAGTGGTAACTGCTGAAATACTACAGGAAGTCAGACATACAAAAGTTAACAGTAACATTGGCCAAATATGATTAAAATGTCCACGTTATATAAAACGATAAGCGAAGAACATGAAGTATAAAAATAGCACTGGTGTGTGGGGAAGGCGCCTTCCGAGCACGCAGGGTGGCAGATACCCAGGGAGCTCCCTGACCAGCGTGGCCTACGTCACCACATGGGGTCTCGTCCCGTCTTCTGTGAGGTCATACCTGAGGGCACAGGAAGCGACAGACAGGTCAGGGTGGCGGCCTTAGTCAGTCAGTGTATCAGTTGTGGCCTGTGAAAGGACACTCACCACTGGGTCCAGCCTTTGGCGAGCTCTTCAGACGCCAGAGCAACCAACACCTGTGGGTAAGGGGGTGTGTCAGAGGTGGGGGCGTTCCCTCAGACCCGCACCTCTGCTCTCGCCCATCTCCCTGTCTCATCAGCACTGTGTGCTCCTTTAGTGTGAGTCTCTCACCTTTCAGTGTGCTTCACCCCAGGATGGTGGGTCCTACCCAAGAGTCTGCCTTATCCACCCGTCTAACATTAGGTTATTAGGAAACCTCAGGGAGATCCTTTGCAGGGACAGAGGTTCACGGCCAGTGAAGGCACTAAAATTGATGTGCACTGGCCACAAATGGCACCTACAATTCAAAACTTCTCTTCCCTAACTTATTTCTGTGTACATTATTAAAGAATGTACATTCTTATGCAACAATTACATGTGGATATGGACAAAGACTAAAGGAAATTCAAAGGGTGCTAGCCAGTTTGGCTCAGTGGATAGCACGTCGGCCTGTGGACTAAAGGGTCCCAGATTCAATTCCGGTCAAAGGCACGTGCCTCGGTTGCAGGGTCCTCCTTGGCCCGGGCCCTGGTTGGGGCATGTGCAGGAGGCAACCAATCGATGTGTTTCTCTCATATCGATATTTCTGTCTTTCCCTCTCTCTCCCCCTCTCTCTAAAAATCAATGGAAAAATATCCTCAGGTGAGGATTAAAAAAAAAAATTCAAAGAAATAAAGCCAATTATTTGTTAGGAAAAACCACAGCTGGTTAGTCAGGAGGTAGAACTGGAAGAGAATGTGTTCCCATTGGGTTTGCTTTCACTGTGATACTTGAAAAAATATTTTTAAAATAACCTTTTCTTCAACTATAAGTTCATGGTATTACTATGACTAATAAGCCAATAACATGAATGAGTAAAAACAACAGAATCAGTTAAAATGTCTTCACAATGTACTGACATCTTAGCTGATGCAGTCTTCCTGGTCTACTATTAGCCGCAGAGCACGCTCACCCCGCCTACCTACGTACTGTGGTCTACCAGACGCAGGGGAGGGGCTGAAGTCTCACAGGGGCCTGCTCAGACTTACTTTGCCAAGAAGCCCTTTGTCTTTGGACAGGAAGCCACCGCTGTTCTTCACGGCGACGTCCAGCGTTCTCCGCTGCACTTCCGGTAGCGAGACGCTGAACTCAAAGCTGACAGAGAAAGAGGCCCTTCCCTCAATTTCTCCATCATCTTGCTGCAGTTTCCCATAACTGAGCATGACACTCCTGCCTACAAGACCACTCCAAATGTCACATTTCTTATAAAACAGGGTTCTTGTGCTAGATGTTTGGGGCCTGCATTTCATAAAAACACAAAATCAAAGTATTTTCCAGGGTTTAGGGGTGGGCAAACTTTTTGACTCGAGGGCCACAGTGAGTTCTTAAACTGAACCGGAGGCCGGAACAAAAGCATGGATGGAGTGTTTGTGTGAACTAATATAAATTCAAAGTAAACATCATTACATAAAAGGGTACGGTCTTTTTTTTTTTTTAGTTTTATTCATTTCAAACGGGCGGCCCACGGGCCGTAGTTTGCCCACAGCTGGTTTAGAATGTAAGAGAAGATTCTGCCTGCAGCTCCCACGCACAAGGTGGGCAGCTAGGATGTGGGATCACAGATGTTATCTTCGACTCAACAGCTAAGGCCAGGCTCCCTCTCCCTAAAGCCAAAAAGAGAGCAACTTCTAAGCCTCGTGAGGGGCTGAAGGCAGAGGCCACAAACTAAAATGCCTTCAGGGAGGCAGGTCCTCGAAGTGATGTGTGTGGTTCGCATGAGGCAGGGTCTCTGGCAAGGACGTAGCCAGGACGTGGCCAGTGCTGCCACGGAGCCACAGCAGCTAGAGACCCAAAGCTGCACGTGGATCTCAAATACTTTGCTGCTGCGGAGTAAGAACACTGACAAATACAAGGTGCCCACATCAGGATTTGGTGTGTTCCTGTCAGTAAAAATATGATGTGTCTAGTATAGTGGTTGGCAAACTGCGGCTTGGCAAACCGCGCTTGCGAGCCACATGTGGCTCTTTGGCCCCTTGAGTGTGGCTCTTCCACAAAATACCACCTTCTGCGCATGGGCCACGAAGTTTCAATCGCACTATACATGCACGCCCACATGTGGTATTTTGTGGAAGAGCCACACTCAAGGGGCCAAAGAGCCGCATGTGGCTCGCAAGCGCGGTTTGCCAAGCCGCAGTTTGCCAACCACTATACTAGACACATCATACCTTTAAAGAGGAAGTGTAAACTGAATTAGCAGACATCAATACCATGCAATCTTATTTCCCCAAATGCTGGTGGTTTGAGCTACAGGACTGTTGAGTAAGATACCAAACTTGCAGATGGAGACTCTTTAAATTCCTGAGCACCTCTCAGGAGCGGCCATGTCAGACTGACCACAGAAGCAGATATGAGCCTCTGTTAAGCCAGACCATGAGAGAGATTTGCAAATCTGAAACAATTATGCCATTCTTTTCACTTTTAAAATTGTTTTGGAAGCTGGTTGTTTTCATAAGAATGTTATATTTTAAGATGTCATAGAGGTTTATTATTTTGAGAAATATATGCATTTTAATATTCTCGGCTTTGATGTATAACTCAGTTCTTTATCTAATCACTCGTCTCGTCATCCATGTTCACAACTTGTCACTTCTGCATGAAATTCAAGAGTACTCACGCCTACTAATCTGAGTTTCCACTTCTCAGTGCTAGGTGGGTGCCAATGCTTTGTCACTGGGAGGCCCTCCTAACTTACCCCAACACCTGCCCCAGGTGAGTGAAGTCCATACCTCTGATCAAACACGGGGTTCAGTGTTTTCTTGGACACGTGTGTTTTTCTCCTCCCTGACCTCCTCTTGTCTGGCAACAAATACATGCGGACGTAGGGGTCAGAGCCGTCTTCAGAGAAGGCAATGAGGTTTCTTAAAAAACAAACCAAAGAACAGCAGGCATTATAGTCTAGGAAGATGACAATTAGCATCACATCATACTTTCTACAGCAGGTCCTCGAGGACTGTTGTTCTGTTTAAGTTCCCAAGAAAAAAATTCCCTCAGTAGAACTGTGTGGAGCTTGCACTGTGTCTTATAAGTTTTCTACGGGGACTCTGGTTTCCTCCAATATCCCAAAGATGTGCACAAGAGGTGAGTGGCCTAACATGTCTCAGTGAGACAGGTGCCGGCGTCAGTGGCCTCTAACATGTCTGAGTGAGACAGGTGCCGGCGTGAGTGGCCTCTCTAACGTGTCTGCGTGAGACAGGTGCCGGCGTGAGTGGCCTCTAACGTGTCTGAGAGAGACAGGTGCCGGCGTGAGTGGCCTCTAACGTGTCTGAGAGAGACAGGTGCCGGCGTGAGTGGCCTCTAACGTGTCTGAGAGAGACAGGTGCCGGCGTGAGTGGCCTCTAACGTGTCTGAGAGAGACAGGTGCCGGCGTGAGTGGCCTCTAACGTGTCTGAGAGAGACAGGTGCCGGCGTGAGTGGCCTCTAACGTGTCTGAGAGAGACAGGTGCCGGCGTGAGTGGCCTCTAACGTGTCTGAGAGAGACAGGTGCCGGCGTGAGTGGCCTCTAACGTGTCTGAGAGAGACAGGTGCCGGCGTGAGTGGCCTCTAACGTGTCTGAGAGAGACAGGTGCCGGCGTGAGTGGCCTCTAACGTGTCTGAGAGAGACAGGTGCCGGCGTGAGTGGCCTCTAACGTGTCTGAGAGAGACAGGTGCCGGCGTGAGTGGCCTCTAACGTGTCTGAGAGAGACAGGTGCCGGCGTGAGTGGCCTCTAACGTGTCTGAGAGAGACAGGTGCCGGCGTGAGTGGCCTCTAACGTGTCTGAGAGAGACAGGTGCCGGCGTGAGTGGCCTCTAACGTGTCTGAGAGAGACAGGTGCCGGCGTGAGTGGCCTCTAACGTGTCTGAGAGAGACAGGTGCCGGCGTGAGTGGCCTCTAACGTGTCTGAGAGAGACAGGTGCCGGCGTGAGTGGCCTCTAACGTGTCTGAGAGAGACAGGTGCCGGCGTGAGTGGCCTCTAACGTGTCTGAGAGAGACAGGTGCCGGCGTGAGTGGCCTCTAACGTGTCTGAGAGAGACAGGTGCCGGCGTGAGTGGCCTCTAACGTGTCTGAGAGAGACAGGTGCCGGCGTGAGTGGCCTCTAACGTGTCTGAGAGAGACAGGTGCCGGCGTGAGTGGCCTCTAACGTGTCTGAGAGAGACAGGTGCCGGCGTGAGTGGCCTCTAACGTGTCTGAGAGAGACAGGTGCCGGCGTGAGTGGCCTCTAACGTGTCTGAGAGAGACAGGTGCCGGCGTGAGTGGCCTCTAACGTGTCTGAGAGAGACAGGTGCCGGCGTGAGTGGCCTCTAACGTGTCTGAGAGAGACAGGTGCCGGCGTGAGTGGCCTCTAACGTGTCTGAGAGAGACAGGTGCCGGCGTGAGTGGCCTCTAACGTGTCTGAGAGAGACAGGTGCCGGCGTGAGTGGCCTCTAACGTGTCTGAGAGAGACAGGTGCCGGCGTGAGTGGCCTCTAACGTGTCTGAGAGAGACAGGTGCCGGCGTGAGTGGCCTCTAACGTGTCTGAGAGAGACAGGTGCCGGCGTGAGTGGCCTCTAACGTGTCTGAGAGAGACAGGTGCCGGCGTGAGTGGCCTCTAACGTGTCTGAGAGAGACAGGTGCCGGCGTGAGTGGCCTCTAACGTGTCTGAGAGAGACAGGTGCCGGCGTGAGTGGCCTCTAACGTGTCTGAGTGAGACAGGCGCAGGTGTGAGTGGCCCCCAGATGGAGGGACATCCTGCTCCGGATTGGTGCCCACCTTGTGCCCTGAGCTGCAAGGAAAGGCAATGTGGTCACTCATGACCTGAAACTGGAATAAGCGGGCTGGGAAATTAATGATCTCACTTGTTTTTATTCATCTTTCGTAAATGTGTGTAGAGCTCACATTTATCTCAGTGCTTCCTAGAAGTGCTTTGGGTCTTTGTTTAGTACTCTGGTGATGTTTTTAAGACCAGCAATAAGCCACAGGAACGTGACTGCTGTTTGTATCGATTGTATGCAGCCTCTTCACCTTACCCACTTACTGACAGACCTGAGGACCTGGGTAGGGACTGGGCTGGCGTCCTCTAACCCAGCTCCTGTGCTGTGTTTCCCAGTGGTGACCTCAGTTGGAGAACATAGAAGGTGCTGAACACATAATCACTGAGCTGAACTCCACAGCGATACAGTCATGTTCCTAATGTCACTAATTTTATTTTTCTGTTTCTAACAGCTTTTTAAGAATCAAATATTTATGTAAACACACTTATATCACAACTACTACAGAGACAGGCAAGTCACATAAATAGCTCCTGACCATCATCATTAATCACACTGTTACCTCACGTCACACCCCTTCCTGACTGGGGAAAGGCAAGCCAAGCCCCTCGGTGCCCAGGTCTCCTGGAAAGACTACGGCAAAACTGACCATGACCCATCAATTGCTAGGTCCTCTGAATTTATAAGTTTACTCCTAGAAATGTAACCCTCAAAGAACACTTCAATAAAAGAAAATACATCCATTATTGAGCGTACTCATTATTCAGACCATCTAAACACCCACAACAGGGAGTAGCAACGTACCCACAGTTCCAGGGTGTGTTGCCAAGCAACCCAGTGGTTATGAATGTTTAGGAAGCAATACTGAGAAGAAAGAAGGAATAAACTCTGGGCACAGGAGATCCAACTGTGAGCACTGGGAGGCCCCAAGGGAGGCCCCCAAGGGAGCGCCGCTCACCTGCAGGCGTGTACGACCACCACCAGCTTGTTCCTCTGCGAGCTGTGCCGGATTGTCAGCTGAATCTGCCCCAGGGGAGACTGTCCCAGCGTCGTCCCACTGAGGAAACAAAGCGGGAAGTCACAGCTCTGCCCGGACCTTATCCTCCCCGAGTCACCACTC